TTGAGGGCCCAGACTGAATCCACTTATGCAATGATTCATCCCAACATTCACGTCTGGGCACGGTGACCAATTTATCGATTCATCTCGACGTGATTCTCCTCTTTACCCGAACGCAGATGTCAACTAACGCCGGATTTGTTCATTCGCGTCAATGACGTACACTTGATCAACGACCACGATTATCACAAAAAGTACAAGACAATGTGAAACGATGGACTATCCACATGGTAACATGATATCTTAAATTGAAATTCGGGCATCTTAAAATGACATTGTGACATCTTAAAGTGATATTCGTACATATTAAATTGATGCTGTGACATCTAACTACCTTAATGATTCGAACTGAAACACTCGCCCACCCGAAGCGGATTCCTTACATTAAACATATGTCAACGAAATCGATTACTCACCGGGGATTTCAGGAATGTGTAAACCATCATATCTTGTGGCCAAAATAGGCGAGTGGTGATCAAGTGATTCTCCTTGTTCAATACCAAGGGTTCAAAATGTCGTAATTCGCGGGATGCACAGGCTAACGGATACATAGTGTGTATATTGTTCAAAGCTTCGGCCAACTGCATTGCTGTCCAACCGAAAGCATCTGGTTTATCCGGATCCCAAAGAAACGGAGGTTCTATCAGCATAGTAACACACTGTGTGGCTCCGTATAGAACAGCCAGCTTAACAGGGCCAATGAAGAATGCGAATGGGGAAAGCAGATCGGTCAAACATTTGTTCAGGTTAATACATCTCTTTCGATCAGTCTGTGAATATTTGTCAATATAAACGGCTGATACAATAAACTAAATTGCATCACAAAACTGAATCAGTGTCGCAAAAGCGTAGAGCAAATCAATTTTACTAGATACCATAGAACCAGTTGCGCAACAGCGTTTCGGGGCAGTTTATTCAAAAGACTTATATCGAAAGAGAGAGAGAAAAGTTAATGTTCGACGAGTTGTTTTTATAATTTTATCCGCTAGTGACACGGTTGTACTAATAGAAGACACGCTTCACATATACATTCTCCCTTGTGGATATGTACGACCACATCGGTGGGTAGATTGCTTATTGTATATGCATACGACTTTTGACGGCTTATGTTCACATTTCAACCAGATATTCAGGCATCGTCCTATTATTTGAATACATTAAATTTTCAAGACAGTCGAGTCCCATAAGTTTTGTCTGTTGTTCCTTGTCATTACAAAATGAATAAGCTTGCGACCGTTTATTTTCCGAGTTCTTGTGTGCTGGGATGCGACGCAATGGTGACTTTGTAGACGGGTGAGAGTGGCAGAATGTTAAATCAAATTGCAACCAGTCGGTGAGATCTGACAAGCGGGTTCATGTGTAATTTATTTCGCATGCACAACTGTCTGGCTTATAGATTTCAGGGATCAGTTAGTTCCTCAAAGGAAATCAACGATGCACGACCCATACTGTGCAATCCGTGTCCTACATCCCAGAATCCTTTGTTTGGAAAACCGGCAAAAAAGAAGGAAAGGACAGTTGACTTGTTTAGAAGTAAATGCTAGCATAGGGTGATGGAAATAAGGATTAGGCGGGCAAATGACGGTTAGGGTGCACATTTGATACTAATCCTTTCCGATTTAGGCCACAGGGTAATGAAACAGGGTGAACACTAACCGTTACACTTTAAATTGCATTGCTTTACGAAAGTCATTTTTTGAGACACAATGTGCTCTTCACAGTCGTATAAAACAAATCCATTTTATGTTCCCCCATTTCTGAATGTTCAGTTTGGTAATAATCGTATAGATTTTGATGCCATCTTCTGAATGTTTCTTAATACGCTTCGCGTGAATCATTTGTAGACCACTGTAACATCAACCTACAGCTTTTTCCCTGTTACCTTCTGTAGAAAGAGGATTAATTGAAATTGATCATATCCGGTAAACGACAAGTTATTTGATAACTTAGCAGAACATAATGATTGAACACAGCAGTATTTCTGAACATGGACCTTAAAGAATTTATCAGTTCAGTTGAGTGTTAAGAACCAATAACCAGGCACTTTCGTGCGTCGGTTTTGGTGTCTCACTTGGATAAAAAAGCAGAATGAAGATTGGAATGTTGAAAGCAAGATGAAGAATTCAAATAGAATGGTGTTAGGGGAATAATGAGTGGATGCACAAGCGCCACCGTCCACGACATGAAGCCATATCACACCGTGCCTCTAACCATCGGTGACAATCATCCCGAGGTCCCCAGCCAGGGAGCCTAACAGGACATAAGTGACCTAGTCTCCTGGTTAGGGTTTCATGTCCTCATGCCACGTCTTCGATTGAACAGCCTGTGCTTTATTCCACCCACCTGGCTCGGCAAACACCGCTCCCCGTGGCAATCTATTTGGTGACATGCGTAACAAATGCCCCAACAAACGTAATATATGGAGGTCGATCACTTGCTCCAGTTGGCAACCGCGGTTACCCAAACCTCTGCGCCTAACCTCAGCATTGATCGTCCNCGACACGGCGAGAGGTAAGGTTTCTCTTTCTCTCTGTTTGCAGATAGGCGAAGAAACCGATCGTTTGAAGAGGTGAATCCACACTCGTGAG